GCGTTCTCTGGGTCCAGTTGTTGATTTGTCCAACATTTAGAACTATCATGGTAGACCGTAGTAAGGGAATAAAAGCTTGTACACCTCATTCCTGCCTGGAAGGACCTTCAGCAGTTTCACTGACTTTTTTCGCACAAAATCTGACAAGCATCCGGAATATCTACATGTCTATTAATAGAATCCTCGCGTGAATGTGATGCCTCTCGCAGCAGGCGTGAGATTTGGTCGTCGAACTGTCCCAGTATTCCCATGCTTTTGACGTCGAGGCCGTGGCCTGGAGAGGAAGTGTGGGCGGCTACCAAGGGAGGCTTATCCTTCCGTCGCACGGCAACTTCCTTCTGGTGTAGTCTCAGGAGAATCCGTTTGCCATTTTCGCCAACATGATCAGCCTGCCCACAAAAACACTCGATCCGGTAACTGACACCGGATATTTGGTAAATAGGTTTGGAGTGGTTAGGCTGGATGACTTGCCTACGGATTGTCGGGAAGCGCCACCGGTAAAGAATTCGCTGACCAGCCAAGCGCATTCTTCGAATATACCAGCAACATAGGGTACTGCTTGCTAGCATTTTGCTTTTGGCTGCCCCCTCGGATTTCTTCCTTTATCTTATCGCCTGTATTTTCAGTGACACTGCCAGGATATTCCTTGAGCTTTAAGAGTTTTTGCGGCAAATGCACCTCGACCTTCTTGTCGGCTTGTTCACTGCAGCGGGTTTCTACTCGGCGACACAGTATTCGCACGCAGCTACATTTTTACGAGACAGGGTGGTTGCTAATGAAACTGAGAATACGACAAGCCAAGAACGCCGAGGGTATATTGGTAAACCATATTACAGTAGATTTACTTACGTAGTCTTCTATAAATAAATCAGCAATAACTAAACCATATCTCGAACTACAAAAACTGTCATATCAACTTTGACAGATGCAACATTGTGCCCACCAGATTGAGGGATGACACAAAGGTCTGCCGAAGTTCGATTTTGCGGCTGATATTATCGTAACCCGTGCATTTATTTGTGCGTTTTTGAATCCAGCAAATTTTGATTCCTTCCATCCCTTTTTGGGTTACGTTTGATGGGGAAGTTCACCCATAGTGTGTCCTGGATAAAGCTGCAAGCCACCTTTGCCCGATTGAAAGCTACATTGTGGGTCACAGAATGCTATCGTATAGGGAATTCTTGTGAGAAAAAAAGATTTCTACGATAATACGCAGTTATTCATGAACGTTAGCTTTCTGTTTGGTTTTTTACGGAGTACCATAATAACCTCGGTTTGTAAAACCTCCTCAGACATTTTTTGTGTACCTTTTAAAGCAAAAAAAACGCTTTTATAAACAGAACACCTCTAGACATCGGCAACCAAAACAACAAACTATTCTTGTCCAAAAAGTAGGTAGAGTTATTTTAAAAGGTTTTACTTTGCCAGGACTTGAACTGATATGCAATACTGTTGACAGAAGCGTAGCCATTATTCCGCGCATACAGGACTGGCTTTCATCACGTGAAACTGACAGTAAACATTTCACGCAAACCAGTTGACACTTTAGGGGACATCGTGTCACCATCACCAAAAACAACAACTGGAAATGACAATATAGTTGAAGAAAGTCGCCGTCATTTTTGTATGATATAAGTAACTGTATATTAACTAATTTAACAGATCTTTAGAACAATTTACAACCCTTAAGTTGTGCGCAGGATTATTTCCTAGGTAAACACTACGGCTTACATGGTTTTTACTCTTGCTGAGGGGTTTTAAGCCGCAACTTTTTCAAAGCAACCAACGTTTGCTTTCAGATGCAAATCTTCAAAAGCAATGCTATTCCGTAGCAGAAATTGTCCTGCACGCAGATATTTTGCCCAAATATTCCCTTAGTGTGTTTCAATATGCAGCGGGTGGTATAGGTGAAAAGCTTTGAATGGATGGTGTCTAAGGGGACATATCTGAGCAGAGCAACGCTCCCCCCCCCCTACGTCCAGAACGGCGGTTACATACTAAATTCGGAAATGTCCCCTAAATGAATGCAGACTTTTGCACGAAAGTCGACACCAGTATGTCGTCGCTGTGCTAGTGATTAATTAATGGGGATTATGTTAGGTGTGTTCTCGTATGGCAAACGGAAGCGACGGTGGGAGAACAAGTTGAGAATTAAATGCATTTTCTTGTAAATTTATTAGCCTGCAAGTTCTATTTTTGCAACAGTGCCCTCGGCCAATGGAACACAGCGGTGAATTGCTTGGACACTGAAATTGAAACTGCTGTTCAGAGCACAGCTAATAATAAGCTGCGGGATAACTTGTAAATTAATGTATAAAAAGGCAAAAAAGTGTAAACTAAAATAGCCACCACTGACTTATAAGCCGGCGTCAGCAAATTAAGGTAAACTCAAGGTTTAGCAATCCCAGGAACATGAGCCCGCGACCTGTAGGACCTCTTGGGTCAGGAGTTCTATGTCCTGACAAATGCAGTCGTAGCTAGTAACAATGGCACATAGCAACTCACCTAGCACGTTATTGGGTACACATATCCTGTTGAGCCTTGGAACTCCAAACTTCCACAAATAGTCTCGAGGATTGTAACACACAGGGGTTGGGTGTCGCTGGCTGATGGCGACTATTAGACCCGACAAATTAGTACAACAATAAGTATAACTCTCACAAGATAAATGTATTACTATGCTCCCAACAGGAGTTGTAGTCAAGCGCCTAGACAGGATTAATTTGGTGTGCGTTGCGAGTCTCACAGGATTGCCCATGTGATAAACATACCACCAGAAAATGTGCAAATCACGCGAACTAATAAATGTTTAAATAACGACTACTGTGAAATAATCATTGAAATCGCTTTACTCGGCTAACTGTTAAGAAGCATGCGTTGTCTTCTAAGTGCGCTCTTAAATTATATTTTAATCTGTGTAATGAAACTGGTCAAAAAAAAAGTGTTCTGTTATTTCAGAACCTTTAAAACTAGGGACAATAAATCATCAATAAATCGAGTTTTGTAACAGATCAGTATTTAAGTGAACCCCATAAGTTGATCTTGAGGAAAACTGACTTAATAGCGTGTTAGGGAAGTCAAATATAAAAAGCATTCGTATAAGAACATTTAGCCTGAGACCCGTGGATAACTTAGAATAAAGCTGTAGAGGCTAAAAAGTAGTTTAAGGAGGTTTTTGGGATGGTTTTTTAGGAACCATCAGCCATGGTGTTGGTGATTCTAAGCTTTTTATCTCAAAGTCTGCGAACTTTAATAGAAAGTGTATGACCATGGGTTCTACCTATGCGCCGAAACTCTCGCAACATGGTGGGATGTGTGCATGAACACACTGACTTCCGATAGCGCGAGTGAGAGCGAGTACCTTTATAAACGTCTTCTGCGAATGCAATGCAAGATTTGCTGACCGTATGTTCGCTCCCCCTGCCGTTACAATGGTTGGCTCGTCGTTTGAGCTGCCAGTTCATTAAGGATGGACTTTGTTCTATACCTTGAGCTAACTACTGAAAATTGTGGTCTGGTATCCTGGTTTGCCGAAAACTCCATAACATTTATGGCAGGTCACTCGCATGCGTTACCAGCATCACATTTCGATACAATACGACGCAGATGAGTGAGGAAACAGTATTGTTTCAAAAGATAATAAACAGTTTTAGCCAAAACGCATCAGGTCACGTATACGCAGCTGGTGTGCTCATGCACTGCCGAGTTATAGATAGCATTTCAACTCCAGTTTCTATCAGCACTGTTGATGTCACCAGTGTAATTTGACATCGAATGTGTTTGCCGGGAGGGACCAATTTACGGAACACGGGGGACAAAAGGAGCCATTAGTTCAGACAAATATATACAACTCAACCAACCAGATTGCATTTAACTTACCTGTATTGTAATAGCTCTTCTTCCTAAAAAT